TTGTTTGAATATGTACACTTTAACTTTTATTGATATATGGAATGTTTACAAGAAAGTGTTTACAAGGATGCTATAAAGACTAAGGATGCTTGGGAGTATGAAGATGGTGTGAGTACGAAAGTAGGGTGTTCAAGTGTTGAGTGGTTGAGGTATCTTTTCAATGAATGAAACTCCCCTTATATATAGACTGAATGAGGATACAATAGTATTAAAAATAAATGGTGTGGACATCTCCTTGGTACTTGTCATTTGTCATTATGATTCTACTGTTGCTGAAATTGTCAGCACTGTTTCTAAAACGTGGCTTGATTTTTGCTTAGCATGTGAACTTGCTTGTCTCTTTTTGTATGTGAATTTGCTGCATGTTTTGTCTCCTGGTGCACAATTTTTGCATGTGATATCCCTCTCCCTTAAATGCTCTCTCCCTTGTCTTCTTTTACATGCCTATTTTGGGTATTATTGAATTGTTTTGTCCTTATGATTAAAATGAAAGTTTTAGGGGGGGGGGGGTTTGGTTAGTTTTCCATTTTTTTTCTCATTAATTTTTATACAATTCGATTTAATGGCAGATTCAGAAAATATTTGATGAGTGGACTAAGCTAAAATTACTATTCTGAAATTAAATGCTTTTTTTTTTTTTTGGTTGCCTACATAAAGTTTTATATAACAATACGCTTGAAAGTAATAATTTGAAGCAAGAAAACATATATAATCAATCTTGTTCACAACAACTTAAGAAGTAGAAGAAACACCTATTCAAATTGTGGGCATCAATCCTTAATGGAATTTGACAAGCAGCCTTCATGAATCATGAGTGAGTACATTGAGTGGCTTGAAATTTTTAACTTAATACCATAATTTTTTAGTGTTGTTAAAGTGATCAGTTTTTTTTTTTAGCATTTTAAATACTTTTATTGGTTTATATTCTCTAAAAGCAAATTTAGAATTCCCAAGTTGGGTGGGTTCGGACATAAAAAATTATATAGTAGCCAACTAATTAGTATTTTTAATATTAATGAACTGAAACTCTCCCTATGCTAAAAGCCATCATAGCCATGTACTTGCTCCGGTGGTGATTCTATTGGAGAAGGGATTCGACTAAACACCATAATCAGTTATCGAGCTTACCATTGATGAAAGTTGCACATGAGACATTTCATTTATTATTGTGGCAAAATATCATTAGAACGTAAAGTAACTGCCTTAATTTCAATCCAAAAACATATATAGTTTTATCCGGCGTGTTGTGTGACCACCGTATGCCACTGAAACTCAAGGAAAAATTTTATAGGACGGCAATAAAGCCAGCGATGTTGTATGGCACAAAATGTTGGGCAGTGAAGCATCAACATGTACATAAAATGAGTGTAGCGGAGATAAGGATGCTTCGTTGGATGTGTGGGCACACAAGAAATGATAAGATTAGGAATGAGGATATCCGAGATAAAGTAGGAGTAGCTGAAATTTAAGGAAAGATGAGAGAAAATCGGTTACAGTGGTTTGGACATGTGCAAAGAAGGCCTACTGACGCTCCGGTTAGAAGATGCGACTACGAGACAGAGGTCCAGGGCTGAAGGGGTGGAGGAAGACCTAGGAAAACTTTGGAAGAGACTCTAAGAAAAGACTTAGAGTGCTTGGATCAAACAGAGGACATGACACAGAACCGAGCGCAATGACGTTCTAGGATTCATATAGCCGACTCCACTTAATGAAAAAATGCTTTGTTGTTGTTGTAAGTAGTCCTCTTGAATTAAATAAGTAACCTCATTAATTAACCCAAGGGTTAAACTCTTATCTAAAAATTCTAAATACTAACTGATGTGGCAACATCTCATTAATTTTTTTTTTATTTGTGGCCATCTTCAATCTCATTTATTTATAACTAGTAAGCAATTGACTCGCTAGAGTGAATTGGATTTGGATTAAATTTGATTCTTAAAAAAAAAAAAAAATCCGTCATCAGTATAATCATGTCAATTTTGATATTTAGGGATACAACTCATTTGTCCAAGTAATTAAAACCAATCAAAGTTGGATTGAATTTGATCTTTCGAACACCTATATATTATACATGCTATTAATATTGAGCTATAAATAGAGAAAACGTCCCTTTGTAGGTAAGTCCCCCAAAGAAGGCATCCAAAAGTAGCTTTGGTTTCACTTCAACAATTTAAGCTCTTAATTTTCTCTGCCACTCTGATCCATTTTCATTTGGAAATTATTATTAGCGCCTTACAAAATATTCATCCCATATTTCTTGCTTCTCTATTTTTTTTCATTAGATTAATGCATGACAACTTTTCTTGAGCGCAAATGACAGCTTGGAACCAACTACTGGATCACTAAATTATTGTTGCAGTTTTTAGGTTGAATGCATTTACAAGGAGAAGAGGCCAAATGGTACCTTAAAATTCACACTTTTAAGAGAGTTAAGAATGAAAAAGAAGAAACGACATCCAAAATGATATGAAAGCACAACCAACAATGTCTAGTCAGATTAGTGCTCCCTATTTGGCAAAGTGGGTCTGCAGTCTTTGATGATCTTTGCAACTCCAGCCAGAGGGGTTGGTGTTCAGTAATTAATCTATGGCAACATGACAAAGCTATGCAAGTGAAAGAGAATTTAATACGACCGCTAAGGTAGTGAGCTAGATTTTTTCTAGTTAGGTATGGGATGTGACTTTTCCCTTTATCATTTAATTCTTTTATCGGTTGGATGAGTGAACCTTACCACATATTTAGTTTAAGCAAGCATCTATTCAACCCACATTCATTCACTTTTTAGCACTTGGTATCGGCAAAATGGCAACTTCCCAAAATCTCATATGTTTTTTCTTTTTTCCTTTCAAACTCAAAAGTTGTAATATTAATTGTTGCCAATACAATTTGCATATGTTTATGTTGATATTTTATTTGTTTCAAAACAATGTGGTTTTATGTTGGTATTTAATTGTCAGAATGAAAAAAAAAATCGTACTTTAGAAAGTTGAGAAATTTTTTAAGGATTTGTAAAGAGTTAAATAGCTCCATGCATTGCCAATAAGTTTTTAAATTGGAACCTATTTTTAAGTCTTAAGCTTGAAATTTTCGCAAATGTGATTCGGTTATTTGTTACGCTTGTGTTGTGATTTTCCAAATCCAAAAATCGAAACACTACTTAACTTTAATAAATCAAAAGTATAAGTTCATAAATTCGATCACAAGTTCATGTTTGAATCATGTGAAGTTCTTCGGTCTAAAGCCATGACGAGGTCATCACACATGATGCCTTATTAAAGTTGGTTACTACCACCATCCAATTTTACCAAATTTTTCAAAGACATATATTTACTTGCCACCTTAAATTTAAGAGTATCAAATGTATTTAATATCAACTTATGATAACTCCATTAATTGTACGTATCACGTGTGGGGTGTTTGTGGTTCTACCACTGCACTCGGAGCAAATTAAACAATACAAAAATATAAAATAATTGAACCAGAACCAACAAAGACTGTAATATCTACATTTATATTACACGCAAATCTTATTGTTCTTTATTTAACTAGATATATCAGATTCATCTTGTTTTTGTTTATTCGTTGGGTTGGTGTCGGCAATGGCATTCAACAAGTGGTTCGATGTCGATTTTTAATATTATAACTGGAAAAAAGAGGGAGCCCAGGTCATCTATATCATTAAGGTTACGAATCTAAGATCTGTTTTTATAAATTTATTATGTAATAATATGCATGGTAAGATATGAGTCGGATTCTCACTTCTCTTATTTTCATGCCCTCCCCTTCCTTTCTTTCACACTTTGCTTTTTATCTTATTGTCTCTATAAAAAAATTAATATAAGACTTTGACGTGTTTTAATCGTAACCGTTCAAGTATGAGAGAATGAAAGGAGAGAGAGATTAGGAGGGGAGAGAATCCCCTTCCAATAAATAAACATGCTTAAGGATTCCAAGAGTTAACACAAAGATTACATCTCTATCAATTACATGTATATATTGCATGCATCTCTTCTTGTATGAGATTGTAGGTTTCTCAAACAATATCAGCCGTAATATTTTGCATCTGTTCGGAACTTAGCCACTCACCAAGTTTGCCTTCACTTGTCTTCCTTTCGAGGCCTGCCTCACTTGCTTTTGTAAGAAGGATGAAGTTCAAAAGTGTGATCCGAGTGAAGAGACTATCAATGGTTAAAACAAAAGTCATGTGTCAAAAGATTAAATTAGTTGATATACATATAGTTAGTTAGTTGGAATATGGAGAGGTTAGATAATTTGGTTAAAAGAAGTTAGTTGAGATAAGGAGGTTATAAATTACTTGCTTCACAAGTCTTGTAGCTAAATACATATATAAGTGAGGATTGTAAATCATATGGAACTAATGAAGAAAGCTTTTATCTGATATACATCTCTATCTCTTTTCTCTCTCTATTCAATCTTTTCTATTTCTCTCGGTGAAACTATCTTAACATGGTATCATCGCCGGACGATCCGGTGCTTCCACTTCCAACACATTTTCTTCTCTTCTCTACCCTATAGTTTGCATCTTTATGTGATATTTGGCATCGGAAAACATACCAATCGCTTCGAAAGTTGGTTTCTTCTCGTCTGCCCCCCAACTGTTTGGTCAAAAGTCTCAATCAAAGTTCGTCACGAAAATCTACAAAATGGTCACTGCTGCTCAATTGCAAATTGTTCAGTCCCCTATCACTGGTCTTCTCTCCACCGTCTCCACTTCTATTACAGTAAAACTCGACGATTCAAACTATCTTACATAGAGCTTTCAAGTTCGATTGCTTCTGGAAAGTCATGGCATTATGGGGTTTATCGATGGTTTAAGAAAATGTCCTCCAAGATTCAATGAAGATTCTAACACTGAAGGGATTGAAACTGATGACTATCTAGTCTGGAAAATGCACGATCGTGCACTAATGCAATTGCTCATAGCCACATTATCAACGACTGTCATTTCCTGCATCATTGGGTGCTAGAATTCTGCAGAGATGTGGTTGAAACTTATTGAGCGTTTTTCTGCAGTGACAAAAGCTACAATCTTTCACATGAAGACAGAGCTTCAGAATATCAAGAAAGGGTCTGAATCTGTTTCTGTTTATCTTCAAAAGATTAAATATGCAAGGGATCATCTTGCTGCAGCTGGAGTACTATTTGATGATGAAGATATCATTATTCTTGCATTGAAAGGGTTACCTTCAGATTTCAACACGTTTCGATGTGTGATCAGAGGATGGGAAAATGGAATATCTCTCAAAGATTTCAGGTCTCAACTTTTGGCAGAAGAAGCAATCATCAATCAATCTTTTAACAGTTCTCCTGGTTTGTCCTTTGGTAGTGCTACGGCTGCTGGTATTCAATTTGACAAAGGGAAAGCACTTGCTCTTGACCAAGATCAACCCAAATCTTTTTCTGATCATTCCTTCAAGTACAATGGAGGACCAAGTTCTGCTAGTCATAATCAAGGTTCTGCTCACAATAATGGATCTTTTAACACTTTCAATGGTGGTTATCACACTTATGGTAAAGGGAGTTCTTTCAGAGGCAGAGGGAAAAGCCGCTTTCAATACAATTCAATTCCAAGATTTTCTAATGGTAATCCCGGTATTCTTGGTACTCCAAAACCATACCAATCCTACTGCCCGGATCACCCATCAGAAATCCCCACCTATCAAATATGCAACAAAAAGGGTCATGTTGCTGCAGATTGCTTCCAAAGACATAACAACACCGCCTTGAACTCTCCTATTCAATGCCAGATATGTTGGAAATATGGACAATCAGCCCTTCAATGCTACCACATGAGTAATTTTGCCTATCAAGGACGGCCCCCAACTCCTAATCTCACAGCTATGCATGCAAATCATCAACCTTCAACACCAACTGAGCAATTTTGGATTGCAAATACTGGGGCTACATCACACATGACCTCTGAATTGACAAACCTAGATCTATCTACTCTATATCAAGGATCTGATACAATTACTACGGCTAGTGGTGCAGGTTTGCATATTTCCAATATTGGCACTTCTAAATTGGTTATCCTACATCATTCTCTCACTCTTAAGAATGTTTTACATGTTCCAAAGCTTTCCCAGCATTTGTTATCAATTTATCAACTCTGCAAGGACAATAAGTGCCGATTCATTTGTGATGATGTTTCTTTTTAGGTTTAGGACAAATCCACAGGGAAAATACTCATACAGGGGCTGTGTAAAGTTGGTTACTATCCTATACCTTTCATCACTTCCCACAAGCGGTCATCCTCATCACCTGCATCTCATTCATGTTTCCTTGCAAAACCGGTTCATTCAAGCATATGGCACAAAAAGGCTAGGGCACACATCCAATACAATTACTTTTGCAATTCTACATCAATCTCAAGTTCCTGCATCACTAGATACATGTTCATCACTTTGTACACCATGTTTAGAGGGCAAATTTACCAAATTACCTTTTAGTTTTCCTGTAACTAAATATGTACACCCTTTAGAGAAAATCCACAGTGATGTATAGGGCCCTGCTCCTTTGCTATCTTATGAAGGATTTTGATATTATGTAACCTTCATAGATGATTGTACTCGTTATACATGGATTTTTCCATTATGAAATAAAATAGAAGTCTTTGCAACCTTTGTTCAGTTTCATGCTATTTGAGTACCTAATTTTCTGCTGTAGTAAAAATATTCCAAAGTGATGGTGGTGGTGAATATACAAGTAATAAGTTTCAATAGTTTTTGGCACAACATGGCATTTTACATCACAAATCATTTCTATATACACCTGAACAGAATGGTTTGGCAGAAATAAAACATAGGCACATTGTCGAAACTGCAATCACTCTTCTTCAAACTGCAAAACTGCAAAACTGCCTAACCAATTTTGGGTTCATGCTTGTGCTACTGCTTCTTATCTGATAAATAGAATGCCATGTGCCTTATTACATATGAAATCACCTTTTCAAATGCTATATAACATTGTTTCTGACATTAAACATCTCCAAGTCTTTGGTTGTGCATGTTTTCCTCTGCTAAAACCATACAATACCTCTAAATTTTAGCCTAAAACAACCACCTGTGTGTTTTTGGGATATGCTAGTCAATACAAGGGATACATATGTCTAGATATTATTACTGGAAAATTATATGTATCTAGACATGTTTTGCTTGATGAAGCTAGTTTTCCATACTCAAACCCCATATTTTCTTCTTCTTCTCAAATGTTTCCTGCATCATCTCAGTTACATTCATCACAAAGTCCAATGCATCCACCACAGTTAACACCAATCATTACATTATCAAATCAAGTATCATCACCATCATCTCATTCATTATCATCTCAGACCACATATTCTTTACCTATGCATTCATCTAGTGATTCATAATCTTTTTCTGCATCTTGAGCCTCAGAATCATTGGAAACAGTTGCATCTCGAGCCTCAGAGTCTATTTCTTTACCTTCACATGAACACACTGTAGTACATACACCCAGGGACTTGTCACCAAATCACATGCCCTTGTCTAGTGTCCGTACACAGCACCCTATCCCTGTGGATCCTGATTTCCACCCTGAGAGCCTAAGTGTGGTTTTGCCTATAAAACTGAATGTTCATCCTATGCAGACAAGGTCGAAGAATGGGGTGTTCAAACAGAAAGTGTTTTTAGCCACAGTTACTTCCGAACCTAAAACATTTAAAAATGCAGCACTAATTCCTGAATGGTAGAATGTAATGAAAGAGGAAATAGCAGCTCTTCATTCTCAAAAGACTTGGACTTTGGTACCCTTACCACCTGATAAGAATTTAGTTGGGTGTAAATGGATATATAAAATCAAGAAAAATGTAGATGGATCTGTGGCAAGGTATAAGGCACGGCTTGTAGCATAGGGATATAGTCAAGAAGAGGGTGTTGATTACTTAGAGACTTTTAGTCCGATAGTGAAACCTATGACTATACAACTGATTTTTGCCTTAGCTGCTCAATTCAAGTGGACTCTTAGGCAGTTAGATGTTAAAAATGTCTTTCTACATGACATTCTTCAAAAGGAAGTGTATATGGCGCAGCCTCCGGGGTTTGAAAGTACAACACAACCCTCAGACTATGTTTGCAAACTTCACAAATCATTATATGGCCTAAAACAGGCTCATCGAGCCTGGAATGAAAGATTTACCAGTTTCTTACCAAGTCTTGGATTTCAGGTGTCCCCGGCTAATCCGTCTTTGTTTGTACAACAGTCTACAAAGGGCACTGTGCTATTGCTTTTGTATGTTGATGATGTAATTGTCACAGGTAGTAGCTCACATTTGATCAACCAAGTCATCATTGCCTTTACTGCCGAATTTGAAATGAAGGATTTGGGATTATTGCACTACTTTTTGGGCTTGCATATTAGTTATACTTCAGAAGGCTTATTTGTGTCACAGACAAAGTATATTCAGGAGCTAGTTGATAAAGTTGATTTACAGGACTCCAAACCCTGTGCTACACCATGTCTACCATATCATAGGCTACTCAAAGATGATGGGAAGCCTTATAATCGGCCTGAACAATATAGGAGTGTTGTTGGTGCTCTCCAATATCTTACTTTTACTCGTCCCGACATAGCATTTTCAGTCAATCAAGCTTGTCAATTTATGCACAATCCCATGATTTCTCATGTCATTGCGGTTAAAAGGATCATTCGGTATCTCAAAGGGACATCTACTTATGGTATCCATTTTAAGCCAGGACCGATACATCTGCAGTCTTGTAGTGATGCAGATTAGGAAAATGACCCAAATGATCGAAAATCTACTTCAGGTTTGTGGTGTTCTTTGGTTCCAATCCTATATCATGGGCATCCAAAAAGCAACATACCATCTCTCGTTCATCCATCGAAGCTGAGTATCGAGCCCTAGCTATCACAGCTGCTAAACTTGCCTGGATTCGCCAACTCTTATGTGATATGCATTTCCCTGTATATTCCTCTCCTATGATCTTTTGTGACAATGTTTTAGCTATTGCCCTTTCTACAAATCCTGTCTTTCATGCTAAATCCAAACACATTGAGATCGACTACCATTTTGTTCGATAGAGAGTCACTCGAGGTGATCTTCAGGTTCAACATGTGTCTTCCTCAGATCAGTATGCCGATATCCTCACAAAGGGTTTGTCTGCACCATTGTTTCAGCACCATTGTAGCAATTTGATGCTTAGTGCACTAGAGCATCAACTTGAGGGGGAATGTAAGAAGGATGAAGTTCAAAAGTGTGATCCGAGTGAAGAGACTATCAATGGTTAAAACAAAAGTCATGTGGCAAAAGATTAAATCAGTTGATATACATATGGTTAGTTAGTTGGAATCTGGAGAGGTTAGATAATTTGGTTAGAAGAAGTTAGTTGAGATAAGGAGGTTATGAATTACTTGCTTCACAAGTCTTGTAGCTAAATACATATATAAGTGAGGATTGTAAATCATATGGAACTAATGAAGAAAGCTTTTATCTGATATACATCTCTATCTCTTTTTCTCTCTGTTCAATCTTTTCTATTTCCCTCGGTGAAACTATCTTAACAGCTTTACCCTCAAACGTTTCTTGGAGCCAAGAATTGTTACTTCTTTTGTTCCTTACGCCAAGTTTGGGTGAAGAATATCTAAGTCTCAAGGATTAAGACAAAGTATTAATAAAAATAGACTACAACATGTTAAGTTAAAGAGATTAGAAATACCATTTATGAATATTACAAATGTATGCAAGACGGATTTGTAGATGTGAAGAACAATACTAATCTTCTCTATCTAACATTTTGTGATCAATTCCTTAATAACCCGACTTCAATTTTTTGTGCCTTGAAAATCTTTATTGTTTTGAATCGTAACTTATTACTAACATACATAGAAAAAACCAGAAGTTCACCGACTTCATCACCATACTAGCTAGAACAAATGAAAATACCCCACTTATACAATAGTGAAAACAAAACAACACTAGTTGGCCACATGTAATTGTTTATTTGTACGCACATAATTTGCTTCTCTTCGTCCTCATCAAGAAAAACCTTTCTTTGATGGTTTTGTGTAAAATTTAGAAAATTGGGAAGATATACATATATGCCGATTTCATTATAAGTAATTTTTAGTGAAAATCTTAATATGCATGTGCCAATTTTAATATTCAGATAATAGTATGATTAGATATAATACGATCATACAACCTATAAGATTGAGATAATATACATGGTTCTAAATAGTTCGACAAAATCAGTCATGTGTGAACACGTAATGTAAGTATCTTTATTGACGTGCATAAGACTCATTATATGTACTTATGTTTACTGACAGACCTCGAATTGAAATGTCCACCTGAACGTCCTCGAAGCGTGTTGGCCGATAGGTGGAAAATGACAAATCCATAAAGAGTTGATGATGTATAAAAGTTGTGAATAAATTAAAACCGAAACCTAAAATTAATTTAAACTAGTAGTGTGAGTGCGCAGTAGCAGGATGAACCCTTATTAGCCATGCGATGTCAAAGTATAAGTAGTTTTGCAGTGAAGTAAAGAATATTCACATCCTAAAATGATGGAGACTACTACAACATACATGAATAAGAATTCCCCCACACTGATTGGTGTTAATGTCAGAACCACTAGAGAACTCTTGCCTGCCACAAAAATTCATCTAAGACTCTGGGGGCGCATAATCGAAAGTTGTGAGAAGGAAAAAAAAAAAAGAGTTTAATAAAACATTTGTTTTCCATAAAATACTAACTCCTTGTTGTAAAACCTGTATAGTTTCCTAAGTAACATTATGTATAATATGAAAACAATACCGTATAAAAACAATATTTTAAGAATACAATGATCACAATATCTCAAATATAATTCATTGACATATGCTGAGAGAAGCTCATGTAAAGACATTTTGACATGAAACATACTGGGTATAATAATGATTTACGCTATTGTAATACATACATGTGATGCTGGCGGTAAGCACGTCACATACAAGATATAGCTGCCTAATGCAGACTAGTACAAGTTGGCACCTACAATGGAGCCAAGGTGAGCATAATTGTATGATGTGAATATACACGCAAAGCTGGTTTTGGCCTGGACAAGCACAACTTACCCATGTAGGCATGCATGATGAGCACATAAAATATGTAAAATCATGTTATGATAGTTTCATAAGTATAATCATGGCATGGTGTACAAAATACTTTTTTCAAGCATTTATGGAAACTATATAAATATAATACGCTTGAAAGAAAAACTCATTCACTGGTAGTAGTCGATTCATAATCGCTCAAATTAGGAAGGACGAGGCCACCGATAACTATTGCACCTAATCATATATAAGGACTCTTTAGCAAAAATCCATTAAAATAATTAAATTTGGAGAAACAGGGTGCAAAAACAAAATCATCGCGTCGATATCTTGTATAGGGTTCCAGAGTCGATTTTCAAAAAAAAAGTCAATGATTAATGTTGACTGCTCAACACTAACCAGTCAACGTCAAAGCATTATTCTAAAAATTCTTGCCTACCGCCACCTAGGCGCTAGACGGCTGACCACCACCCCGATTAACCCATACGCGTTTGAAAATTATGAAAGTGCACCTAGACCTGCTTAGGCATCCGTTAGGCCTGGCAAACGGGTCATGTTTGTCGTGTTTCGTGTTGTTTTTGTGTAACACCTATTATCTTAATGGCTCGTGTCGTGTCACACCCGTTATTTTAACGGGTCCTTAAAAGGTTGAGTCACTTTACCCAACACATAAAATGACCTGACCTGTTATGACCCGTTATAAAAACACATTACCACATAAATATTACTTCAAAACATAAAAACACATTTGTCGTTAAGTACTACATCTACACTCCAAAATAAGAGCCTAATAAAAAAGCATCAATACACTACTAGTCTACTACAAAATACCAAATGTGCAAGGATATGCAAAATGAAGGAGTTTTTCTTTTCAAGGTTGTGAAGCCTTTCTCAGAAGTTAAAATCTTGCCAATAAAAGTCAAAACTTGCATGTTATTCCTTTTACAAAATTCTTCAATTTTCATCGATCATCATGGGGAAATTGTATTGGAACTTTGACTTTATCTATTGCCTTCAAGAGTTATGTTGATGATGTTTTCAGTAAGGTTTTCCACATCAGAACTCTCTTCCACATAAACTAAGTATAGAAAAACCAAACATTATAAACCATTCAAATTATGAGAAGTTTACCAAAATAATTATGAAAAGAAATAAAACAATAGTACTATACCATATAAAAATATATTACCTCCTTTTCTAACGAGCCAATCTCGTGTATACAACAAAGCTTGAACTGAGAGCGGCACCAAGTGTTGAAGTCTGGAAAGATTGAGAGTGAATGAGGGCAGAGGATAATTTGGGCTCCAACCTAATGTACAATGGTCGGTTGAGATTAAATCTCAGCCGATCCAATGATCATCAATTTTCTAAATTTAATATAATATATAATTATAATAGTATTTTTATAGGGGTATAAAATTATAAAATTAATATTTTGCTTATCGTGTGTCGGATTACCCACGTGTATACCTGGACCAACCTGTTATCTTAACAGGTGCTTATCAGGTTACCCGATAATGACCCGATTCGTTATTGTGTCAACCCGATAACCTATTAATTTCGTGTCGTTTTATGTCGGGTTAACGGGTCGTGTTAGAAATTGCCAGGCCATCCACTTAGCCCGCCTAAACCCACCTAGACACCCGCGTACATCGCAGCTCTCACTTAGATAGAAAATCGATAACTTTCATTTTATGTTTCCAATAAAATATAAGAGACTTGGTGAATACTTGGATGAACACACATTATATGCTTGTTCCCTATGTTTTCAATATGTTCTAGAGCTTTATAATCTATATGTCATTTTATTTTACAGTTTATGTTTCCATATACAATTATGTGTTGTTGTAAGTACAAATAGGTACTTATTTATACAATATACAATAAATTTACTTAAATCCTCCTAGGTGCTAGGCCCTAGCCCGTTGCCCGACTAGCGCCTAACGTCTTTTAGAACATTAGGACAAAGTCAACGCCGGTCCAAGCAACATGGAATATCCCATCATCGAACATAATAACCGAATTGGATTATTCCGTTCACCAGATGAATATTTCCTTAAAACTAACGAGGAGTTAACGGAACATACCTAAAATATTTCGATCTGGATTCGAAAACGAGTTTGATTGTCGGGTCGAATCTCAGGTTAATGGGTCGGGTCAAAACCGTCTTTGGGTTAGGTCGACCCCGTTTTGGTTGCGGGTTTGGCCTCTACAACTCATCGGTTTTCTGGAAATTTGGTCGAAATTATTTTCAAACTTGTTGCGTCGCCGTAGTTGCTCCAATGTCCAAACCAATAGCATATTGGATTCCTGGAGTTGAGGCAAACACGATGGTGGAAGCCTCGAGTTGAGGGTTGTCTTTTGAGGTTTGGCCAGAATACACTTGCCGATTTTTGGAAAACTTACCGAAAAACTGGGGAAACTTGCCAAACTTGAATATGCATCAAAACTTAACCAAAACACGCAATCCACATATGAAAAATCCATCTACTCAACAAGACAAACACAAAGGTAGTGGTTTTAGAGCTTACCTTGGATGGACTTAGTGAGAAACTCGTTGTGAAACTCTTGTCTGTGTCGAAGCTTCTCAAATCAATGGTTTGGGTCTGAAATTCACGAAAAGAATGGCATGGCTAAATTCGTGGTGGTGAGGTGTGGGCTCTAAGTGGCATGAACTCCAACTTCGAAATATGATAACACCATAATGTGTCCAAGCAGATGTGAAATTCATTTGCCCTTGACGTTCGTGTTTCGTAAAATCTTCATTCTAACTTTAAATTCAATTTCACTTGTGCTTACGCGTTCGTCTTGTCGAGTACTACAAGGATATGACAAGAAAGAAAACGAATTATGGACTAAGCTCAAAAGTCTACTAGGATTCTACTAAGCCCAACATGGGTATTCTCGTCAATTCCCACCTTTGGGAATTAAAATTCATTAAATTTTTAGAACGAGTCGTAACATTTACGATGACTTATGCTAGCACATATTGTGATTGTATTTGATAATGTGTACTAGGTACAATTTTGTTCTTAATTTTTTCCACTAAATGAAGTATCAAAATCAAATTATAGCTGTTCACAAAAAAAAAAAAAGAAAAAAAAGGGGTCGCAATTGTTGAAGACCGTTGTCAACATAGACAACGACTTCCGCTCTTCCGGTCCGTCAGATGAACGCAAAAACGACCCGCG